CTGGAAGCAATTGGAGGAAATTGTGGGGAATTGCAAGGAATTGTAAAAAATTGCAGGGAATTGTGTGGAATTTACCGGGAATTGTGTGGAATTATAAGGAATTGTACGGAATTTCAAGGAATTTCCATTTAGAGGAATTTCAGTGTACAAAATTTAATGGCCGCCATATGGATTGCATTGCCATGTGCAGAGAAATTATTTTAATTCAGTTAACCTTACATTTTTCAACTGTCAAAAAATAAGGCGTTTGCTGAAATTATCTAAATCAAATTTATTTTAACCAAAAAAGGAACAAACCACAATTGTGTTGTTTTTTGTCTGTATGTGTTGGTTCTTTTTCAATCAAAGAAATTAAAAAGAGACACATATATTTATTGGCAAAATCTTTTATTAGGTTGGCCAATGCATGGGTGCCCAGGTAACAAGTCATACCGTTTTAACCAAACAATTTCTTGTCTATTCTCGGCTATCCTTTTTTAATTATTATTATTAAAAAAAGACATATAGAATAGGTATTTGTCGAAATATTATATCAAGTTGGCCATGCATTATTTATACCTGAAACTGTCGAAACTCAGATGTTGATTCAATAAAATCGTTAAAACAAAAAAAAAAAGCCCAAAGAATTGGCATTTTATACAGGGTTTCCTACCGGGAACCAAATCGAACCATATATGAAAAACTGAATGCAGAAAATTTGACAGAATACTAATGTCAATAGGAGCAACCCGGCTAAAATATTTTAAAAATGGTGGCGCTTCCGGTTATACCGGAAGTAGACGTCAACTCTCTTATTTTAGATGGGACGTCCTACGTCCTGTATGTGATTGCATATTTAGATTTTACGTAGAATATAATAATTTTTCGGCGAAGTCCGGATTTTGTTCGGATTTTTTGACTCCTTTGTCTAGAATTCCGAAATACCTTATGGAAACTCTGTGTATAGGTGCACCTACATTATAATCCATTTGAAAACATTGAGTAATAATTTTATATACATAATATACAATGGACTTAAATTCAGATAATCAAGTTGGAAGTTACTCAATGTTACGTCAGCAGGGCATGATTAATCCAATATGTCATTATTTTATGTTGTCTGGCTTGTAAAAGTTTTCATCTGCCAATTTTAAACTTTCTGGAATTATAAAATTTATTGGATGTATGTATGATATAGGGATTTCTCCTGTGATTTTATTTAAAAGAAAAGATTTAAGATTTACTTGAAATGAATTGTACATTTTATGGTTCCTAGAGTAATCAAGATACAGTTGCACTGACGCCATGAATTGACATAATAATAGCACAGCACATACAAAAACAATCAGCAGGCTAACTTGAGTGACAGCCCGTGTAATAAAGGAATTCATCGTTAAAATGTCACTAACGGCCATTTTGGGATACGAAACAGGGCCTGATTAACGATAATTTAGGTTTTTTCTTTCCTGTGACAGAGTCGTATTGGCTTTAAATAAACTAATTTATTATTACTTACATATAAAAATGTTTATAATTACTAATTTATTATTATTATTGAATATACAAGAATGATAACAGATAACACCATAAATGACAACACGAATATATCAAAATCGTTTTGAAAATCATAGCTAAAATTCCGCTCTACACCGCACGCCTATGACCTCCGTCAGAAATAAACAAATAAAATAAAATTTCGGCGCTCCTGCCGTTTAATGACAGCGTTTTGACAAAATGGAATCCCCTAATGGCGGCGTGCGCAGAAAAGATGCGCGTGAGAGTTAGCCTGCTGATTGTTTTTGTATATGCTGTGATAATAGGCTGTGTTTGAAGGCTTAATTTGTCACATTACTCACTGGTTATGAAATTTTGTCATTGAACCTGGATCTAAAGGAGCTCGGAAAACATGAGGTTTTGTTAACATGTGCACCTTTAAAACTTCTTTTTGTTTAACTTTCACTTTGCAAGTGTCACATTTAAAAGGATGAATATCCGAGTGTGTTAACATGTGCATCTCCAAAATACATTTTCGTTTAAATTTTGCTTTGCAAGTGTCACATTTGAAAGGATTGATATCCCAGTGTGTATGTCGCATTCAAAAGGATGAATATCTGAATGTGTCATTAAGTGACTCTCCAAATGGTCTTTTCGTTTAAATTTTGCTTTGCAAGTGTTACATTCAAAAGGATGAATATCCGAGTGTGTTAAAATGTGAGTCTTTAAAACGCTTTTTCGCTTAAATTTCTTTTCACAAGTGTTACATACAAAAAGATGAATATTCCATAGTGTGTTGATATGTGCGTGTTATGATGAATTTGAGTTTATGAATTGAGGGAATGGGGATGTGTTTTGTGACTGTACCTAAATCACTTTTTGTTAATTCAAGTTTATTAATAACCTATCTTCCCTCATTTTTTAATGAAGATTGTAAGTAATGGAATTTTTGTACTTTGCTTAATTTTTTGTGACTATAAACCCAGACTTGAAATGTCTCGAAAAATGGCAGCAAATCAGAATATTTTTCCTCTGTAAATATTGAAAATTCAATGGTGGGAGTTTTATATTAATATATTCCTCACTTTGTGAATTATTACAATTGTTTGAATCTGGAAGATTTAGAAATGTTGAAGGCTGACCAATTAAAGGATTTAAAATTTTTTTGGCTTGAAATAATTATTTTCAAATATTACTTTCTCCGCAGATTGGGTAGCATTAATTAGCTCTATTTCGGTATGTATGGCATTAAAATTGTCAAATATGGAATAGCATTTAGCCAAACGTTCACTGAGTTCAACCTTATCATCAATATTGATTTTAAAAAGTCAATTAACCTTTCAATATTCCTCGTTGTAATATCAATACTCTCAGCTTAGCTTCTTGTTCAGCCATTATAAACAAATGTGTTTATGGAAATACTAGTGTTCCACCTGCCAAAAATCACCTGCAAATGAGATGAAATAATTTACAAATTTACAAATGAGCGTAAGCGTGCATAAATAAATGAGCAAATCTTGCATATAATGAAACGACTGATTATTAAGCGCATCACTGCTCTATGTGTTGTCTGTTAGTTTGCTCTATTGAAATGCCTTTTTTTTTTTGTTTTATTTAAATCGGATGACTATAGCTGCAGTGGCGGCTCGTCAGAGGAGGCAGGGGAGGCTAAACCTCCCCAAAAAATTGAAAATTCAATCGCAATTTTTTATTCCTGATTTCTAATTGAAATAATATAATTCACAACAGAATTCCAATTTTCGATATTTTAATGTAATTTAGAAAAATCTGACAACATTGTTTCAATCAATCCCTCGCCTCCATGACAAAAATCTGTGAATTTGGGATACTCAGTAATACCGGCCCGAAGGGCCGGAGTTATATGCGAGCCCGAAGGGCCGGAGTTATACGCGAGCCCGAAGGGCTAGAGTTATTTTAATCACGGGACTCAGTCTATAATCTTATTGGTCAGCGGATAATTTAGAGCCAATTAAAAACCGGGAGTATTTAAAATGCGATTTTTAGCGTCCAATCAAAGAGCCGGGAATATTCAAAAACCTAAGTTTTATCAAATTGACTTTTTTCAGAAAACGGTGGTTTTTGCAAACATATACTACTTTATCGTTGTCTTTGTCTTACTCACTATAATCAATAAGGAAACCTTATAATGTCATTTTTATTGAAATTGAACTAAAAACAAGTTTCCTATGATTTATTTGGGGAATTTTAATTGTTATAATCATTATTAATTAATTATTAAATTGAATTTTAAACAAAAAAGCCTTTTAAAATAATATTTTTGTTTTTCGAGATGTGATGTGGCAACGTTGCTTTTAGTTGGCCATTTTGAAGTGACGTCTTGTGATTTTTTGCCAGTTTTTTTCTCGAATTTTCGACTTTTCCGGAGTTTTTTATTGGAAAAAAAGCGATTCAACATACTGTTGGAAACATGTTCCAACAATCATGCTATCTCTTTTTGATGGCAAAATATTTTTATACATATAAAGTTGGGAACACTGCAGCGTTGTCGTCATGTCTATTTTGTCATGGCTGTCAATATATTGCGCGCCATTTTTGTCATTGCAGCAGTGTAGCTTGGAGCTTGTCCACGTTAACAAGCATCCAGAAACCTTTTCACATTTTAATAAATTTTAGAATCTAGCTCTGCCCTGTTGGGCATCTAAGCAAGCTCTGGCTTCTTGCCACCCAGGTAGCCAACGTGACGTTATTGACGTCTAAAGGACGTCAATTTTCAGTCACTTTTGGTCCTAAACGTCCTGTGCCATAAAAATGACGTCATTAGGACGTCATTTTTAGGACATCGTTTAGTTGTCAATTTGGAGACGTCTTTTAGACGTCTCATAGAGGTCTACAAATTAAAATTAAGTAAGTCTTTTGGATCAGAACGTCAAAAACCAAAAAAGTTAAGGATAAATATTTTTTCCCATTTTTCACTTGCTAAGAAATAAAATTATCAGATTTTTTTTTTTTATGTTGTATGTTGAAAAAAAAAACAAAAATTAAAAACCAAATAAAAATACCAATTCAATTTACAGCGCCCCACCTACCCGTCAATAACAGTAATTTTGTGTTTAATTTGAAAAAAAAAAAATAAAAAATAAAACGTCCCCAACTGCAATTGAACCCAGGTCTCTTCCGTGATAGGCGGCGATCTTGACCACTATACTACCACACCGTTGTTTAATAAAGCTGTTGATTTGTATTATGTACCCAAACCTTGTCCCGAGAGCAGCGCGCGAATACGAAGCCGTATGATTGGTTCAATTTAAAATACCGGTAGTTCGGCATAATACTGCTAGAGGCGCTGTCGCGTAACGACTGCGAGTCGGTGCTGCTCGGTCGGCCATTTTGCCATTTCTCTTTGCTGTCCGCCATGCTCACAGAACATGCTGTTGTGTCGTGCCCTCTGTCCCTGCGATTTATTCGGGTTTTTTTTAAATCTGGTGTGGTTTCTTAGTTACTCTAAGTGCCAAGTGATTACTGGAAGTGGAAATACAAAAAAAAATATGTACTGCGTCGTGCAGCTGGATGAAACAGGCGGCGAAGGTCTAGCTGTAGTTCATACGAGCTGGCTGACGCCATTGAAAAAGGAGGTCTTCTGGCCGCCAATAAAAGACAGCAAGCTCTATCGAAAAGCCCTGGTAGAAAGTGAGCCCGTTGAGTCAGATTGGACCCTTTACGGCGTGAAAAAAATTTATTTTCAGACAGGTAAGTTATTAATAACGTATATCATTATTGTGTTTGTGATTGAGTTTTTTGTGATAATCCCAGTTAGAATTATACACATTGAGTCTATTGAATAAAGTGAAGTAAATGCTTATACTCTACCTCCGTCTCTTTTTGCTGCATTTTAGCTGGATATGTTTATCTCAAAAAACTTAAGCAAAAGCATTTACTTCTGTTTTATTCAATAGACTGATTATTCTAACTGGGATTATTTTTGAATTGAAATTTTGGGCCAAATATGGCGGTTAAAAATGAAAAACGATATCGACTTCCAGCCTAGGTTCCTCATTCTAATAACCTCTCTTTGTACTTATTTTTTTTCCAAAAGAAAGCTTATTTTTCAAAATAAAATTAATTGAAAATCGGATTTTTAAACTGTCTCGAAAACGCGGGAACATTCAGTAACGCCATTGGCCAAAAAATTAATAAAAATGCGAGGATGCCGAATTTATCATTGTCCATCTTTCAATTCAATTGGATCTCTTTTTCTATTCGCGTTCTTTATAATCTAACTAAAATTTTTCAAAATATTGTTAGTTTTTGGTTGCATTCATGTATTTGCGTCGAAAAATATTATATTTTTTATCATATGCGCGGCTAAAAAACTTTGCACACGATATGTGCAGTGCTCAATAATAATAATAACATTATTGTGATTAATTATATTATTTATTATGACTACTTATAGTCTAGGAGGCAGTGAACTTTTTTCGGTACTTATTTTCCCAGCCGGTAAATATGAAGAAGTTTGTTGGGATGGTGGATGGTGACAATAAACAACAATTTTCCAGTCATAGATGTTTGGCATTCACTAAAGTTTGTAATTTTTTTAATGGAGATAATAGTCTGGCATGTCCCAAGTGAAGGTAAGTTTGTCTGGCTGAAAATTTGCGGTTTTTCAGTTTTTCACCTGCCAGACATATTGCCCATACCTCGGCCCATACTCACAGATTATCCTGACTATTTTTTTTTCTTATTTTGACTGTATATTTTACTAATAGCGTATTTTATTGGTAGAACCAGTGCAAACAAAAGTGTATTTTTATCTCCTTATACAAGCTGGTAGACAAAGACACGAATACACTCAGTGCGCAACTACCCTACCAATGAAATACGCTATAACAGAACTATTATTGTCACTTATAATTACACAAGAGCTTCATTTATGTCAAAGTAAACTTGACATTTCAACGAGAATTTTGTTGCATGGCATTACGGAAAAAAGCTGTCTCTGAAAAAATTACGAGTCCATAGGACGAGTAATTTTTTCTGGCAATTTTTTGAGTTGAATTGCCTAAAGGCAACAAAACTCAAATTAGAAATGTGAAGTTTACTTTTTGACAAAAAAGCTTGAGTGTAATTTGGTAAGACAATTTAATGAATACGAATACCTACGTAAATGACAAATTTTGCTGGTCATGGTGCTGGTCATGTCAATCTAGGTTCAGTTTTGTCGGTTTTGTCGCTGGAAAAGTTTGGGCAAACTTTTTTCGCTGTAATAATGACAAAAACGCCAGTCCTTATGTGCTTTTTTGTGTATGAATTAAATTGTCAGTTTTAATTACACGAGAGCTTCATTTTTGTCAAAGTAGTCAAAGTAAACTTGACATTTCAACGAGAATTTTGTTGCCTGGCAATTAATCGAAAAAAACTGCCTCTGAAAAAATTACGAGTCCGTAGGACGAGTAATTTTTTCCGGCTGTTTTTTGAGTTAAATTGCCTGAAGGCAACAAACCTCGAGTTACAAATGTTAAGTTCTCTTTTCGACAAAAAAAAGCTCGAGTGTAATTCGGTAAGATAATTTAATAAATACCTGCGTAAATGACAATTTTGCTGGTCTTGTCAAGCTAGGTTCAGTTTTGTCACTTTGTCAAACTTTTTTCGGGGATAATACCACGAGTGCTTCTAATTTTTCCGGAAAAATTTGGGGAAAACGAGTTGACAAGTAATTTGTTTGACAAAAGTACGAGAGCCCAAGTCGAAGACGAGGGTTTTTGTCATTCAAGTACTTTTTGTCGAGCAAATTGATTTGAAACGAGTTTTCCAGATTTTTCCACAGGAAAAATTAGATGCTCGAGTGGTATTTGGTAAGATTTCCCACCTGACAGCACCTATCAAACATTTTATCGGATAACTTCTGACAGGAGTTGTCAAGCAATTTATCCACTTGAAATAGTATATTACATATCGAGGTGGGAAGTGTTTCATTACTGTCGAGAGATTAGTTAGTTAACTGAGACGCGAAGCGTCGAAGTTAGCTATAATCTCGAGACAGGAATGAAACTTCCCACTGAGGTTTGTATACTATTTTATTTAAAATCATCATATTTTTACTAGATACATACAAAATGAAAATTAAAAATTCTTTTTGACAGTTTGTGACGTATTAAAAAAAAAACGTTTGGCACCCACGACAAGTAGTTTTTATTGTATAGAAGGAGGTAGGTAATATTACATTACCTACCTCGAGGTAGGTAATATAACATTACCTACCTCTAATAGAGGGTGGGAAGTAGAGGTAGGTTATGTGACACTTCCAAACCTTCAATCAAGTTAGTAATGTCAACATTACATGTATGATTGTAAATAAACAATTTTATTTATAATCATACATGTAATGTTGACATTACTAACTTGATTGAAGGTTTGGAAGTGTCACATAACCTACCTCTACTTCCCACCCTCTATTAGAGGTAGGTAATGTTATATTACCTACCTCGAGGTAGGTAATGTAATATTACCTACCTCCTTCTATACAATAAAAATTTTAATTTTAATTTTGTGTGTATCTAGTAAAAATATGATGATTGTAAATAAAATAGTATACAAACCTCGGTGGGAAGTTTCATTCCTGTCTCGAGATTATAGCTATAACTTCGACGCTTAACTAACTAATCTCTCGACAGTAATGAAACACTTCCCACCTCTGAATGTTATATACTATTTGACGTTGAAATCCGTTTTTTTTATTGGTTCAAATTGACAGGTGGGAAATAATCGCTGTAATAATGACAAAAACACCAGTCCTTATGGGTTTTTTTGTGTATGAATTAAATTGTCACTGGAAAAAAAAGTGCAGTGCATTTTATTTTTTCCTCGGTATTTTTCGAGTATTTTCTAACACGCTACCATCTCAAGCTATCGGAAACCCCCCCGCCAAATATATATGAATTTGGCTTAGCATAACAATCTGAACAATTATATCAGTGTTTGCTGACTGGGAAAATAAGTACCGAAAATCTTCAATGCCTCCTAGACTATTATTATTATACAGGTGATTTGAACAAGGCATTTAGAAAGGAAAAGGAAGCTGAACAGACTAGTGACATCTACGATACCGACGATGCTACAAGTGTCGTCATAAATCGCCCTAGGAAAAGAATCAAAAGGGTTCTAGACAGTGATGATGATAGTGGTGATGATAGTAGATTTTCTAGACCCCCACAAATCAAGATAAAACAATTATCAGGTGCGTGATGTGTTGATTAATAAACTTAAATTATAATATTTTTAGAGTTTTTCCTGAGGTCTTATTTTTGGAGACTTAAAAATATAATTCTTTCCGATGGTGAAATATAAAAAAATGTAAACCAGACCATTTGGGAGGCACACATTAGCCAATTTTAAGCGATTGACCAGTCGGTCATCTTGACAGATAAACCATTAGTTAAACGTCATTTATCAACCAATTGGTCTCAACTGACGTTAAATGCATTGCTTAAATGTCAAGATGACCGACTGGTCAATCGCTTAAAATTGCTTATTTATTTTATAACCAAAAATAATATTATTTTGGCATTATTTGACAAGTATTTGACTCAAAAGCTATGCTCGAAAGCTTCAAAATTGAGAAATGGTCAATAACAAAATGGTCTTTTCAGAAACTGATCGGCATAACCAGATCATCAGCTGATGATCAGATCAAACAGATCACAGTTTCCGAAAAGGCCTAAGTTTATACTGTTGCGTTTAAAACATGTGATGTTATGTTATTAGGTAGCAAAGAAAAAAAGCAAATTTCTTCTCCATCAACATCAAAGGAGCAGAGGCCCATAGCAGCTTCAGAAATTTTCACTCCTCGGTCGTTACTCGGATCTTCACTATATGTGGAAACACCAGATATAAGAGATTCAAGTAAGTTATAATGTATTTCTGCAATTTTTTTTTTGTCACTTATTAAAAGTACCCTTGCAATCACTGTTTTTAGGGAGTACAGTAAGTCTTTTGATCCCCGAGATTATATTTTAAAACAAGGAACAAAATGGTACTTTTATTTCCTGAAATGCATAAAATAGTGTGTACACCACAGAACTGAAGTGATTTTTTAATCCCTCGACAAATTATGGCCTTCCGTTTGGTCAGAATATATACTTTTTGTCCCAGGATTAAAAGTACCACTTTAGTCCCTTGGTGTACAACAGAGGTGGGCCAACCTGCGATTTTAATGGAGCTGTGACAAGACGTGACTGCTCCAGTCGTGTCACTGTGACAAATAGCAGTGATTTTTTGGAGCAGTTTTACCTTAGTTGGCGGCCGTACTGCTATTATTATATGTTAATGCTACATCGTAAAATGGCATAATCGCAGTCCGCAGTCACGGCCTAGAGAGATGCTCCAGTTTCCAGCCTGCCCTCTGCAGTAGCAGTTTCTATTTGGCGTGATCGCGATGCAATTTATAATATTATTATTTCATTTACATCACTCAGCTCGAGTTCTGTCCGCGCTGCATCGGTCGGAGCTTGAAGCAGGCTGTGACAAAATGTCACTGCTACTTGACTGGGACTGGAGCAGGCAGTGACTGTGACAGACGAGTAGCAGTGACAAAGTCACAGTTCGTGAAATCGCAACCCACCTCTAGTGTACAATACTATTATCTATAACCATGTTTTGTTGACATTACTGATTTTTTAAAATTTTCAAAATTTTACTGTCTTTTCATTTCCCTAGTCAATTTACCATTATTGAGAAAATAGTATATTACAATTATTGAGCTAAACTTAACCTTGAGACAGCAATGAGGTTTGTACACAATTTTATTTTCAACCCCTAATTTCTGGCAAAAACTCATAGATTTTATTGTACAAAATCCTTCATTTTTTGTCAAAGAACTTTGATACCTAGTGTTAAATTGGCCTTATTGACTGTGCGTTAGATAGGGTACCGTTGAGTGGAGTAATTTTATATTTTCCAGCTGTTGTTTTATAAACTTGGTATCATAGCTTCAATTTTTTAAATTTGTAAATGTTGCTTGGAAACGTGCAATATGTACCTAAGCGGTTTTTATAAACTCATCATAGAACCTGCTTCTTTCAAATATCTGAATTGCCAACATATTGTTAATAGGTTCCATAGAAAAAAGGCAAGAAAGGCAAATTTCTTTGCCTTCAACTTCTAAGGAGCGGTCTACAGCAACTTCTCCTCAGTTATTAACAATTGGAGCTACACCATATGCAAGGACACCAGATATAACAGAATCAAGTAAGTAATAGACTATTTCTGCTCACCTTAGAATGAATACAAAATAGGATAGAATTTAAAAAAATCTACTATTAAAATCGAGGAAAAAAATGTTCCATATTTTATTTCTTCATTTTCTAGATTTACCTATATTTATTAATGTTCTTAACACAGTTAAGGAACAGAATAAACTTATCTTGACGAAATTGGAAAACCTAGAAACACTTATTGCCGGTGTACCAGTTGTTGAAGCTGCAGTGAATTCTGGGAATCCTCTACCTATAGAGCTGCCATTGATAAGCGATGACAACATAAATGCAACAGAAAACTATTTAGAAGAAAAACGAAATTTCACTCGACTGGTAAATATCATTTTTTAATGCTTTCCAAGTTCTGTATAGCTCTGTTCCAACTGACACGAGAACCGTTCCAGAACCAGTAATTTCCAGGCCACCTATTTTTTAATAACTTGAACGTTTATCTTAAATAATATAATAATAATAATAATAATAATAATAATAAACAATTTATTTGCCAACTTACATTCTTTTCCACTATAACTACGTTTTGAAAGAAAATAAAATAATATAAAATAAAATAAAATGGCCAAATGAATTGATTGACTGGAAATTATCGTTCTAGAACAGTTCTCATGTCGGTTGGAACAGACCTTATATTGTTTTATTACAATCATAATTTTTTTCTTAACTGAAATAACTTCATATAAATTATCAGAAATTTAATTTTTTTGTCACATGAAGTAAGGGCGAGAAATTATATGACACTCCCCAGCAATGAAGTCAGCTGACTAACCCTTATTTGGTGGTTGGTTGCAGGAAAGTAGACTTAGAGCTGGTGTTTTAAAACACCAAACCAAAGGTTTTAATATTAGGTTTCATCTCCTGAATGCAGTTGAACTTAGGTTAAAACTCAGCCTTTGGTTCGGTGTTTCATAATGCTGGCTCTTAGGACCGAATTTATAGTCGTTCCTTAAGGAATCCTCAGTCCTTGAGGCAGCCCTAAACGTTTAGAATTGCCATGACAAACTTATCAAACAGTATCAAGTGTCCATTCTAGACTCACGACCTCCAAGGAAGCCTCAAGGAACAACTATAAATTCGACCCTAGAGTTTTTTAGGTCTACTTTCTCGCAGACAAACTCTACCTACTTATAAGTATACCGATTTTAGGTGAATTATTTAGGATCCCTTGGTGGAACAAACTTGAAAAACAAAGTCCACAAAATTTTAAGACAATTGTTGAGCAACGATTTAGCATGTAGCTACAGCTATTTTGGAAAAAAAGGAAAAAAGAGTTTCTCTGAGCTTAAGCTGAACAAGGCAATTATCCGTAAGTTGAATTTAAAGTTTATTTTACGAAGTATGAACATAAAAGCCATAAATTTTCCCAAATTCCATAAAATTTATATGTATCACTTCAAATTTATCGCACAGACAAAAACATGATCCAGGGTTTCACATGAATCATTCCAAGGTTTCCTGCGAGATCTACTACCAAATCTTTATTTAATTATTCGCAATATCTACTATGTACTTGCTTTTTGCTTTATTCAGTGCGATTCAGGTTCTAGTAGGTATATACACCAATTTTAACTTTATTGAAAAGGCGTTTTTTTTTCAAAAGCAATGCGACTTATGCACTTACGATCAAAAATTCTCAAGAAGTCTTTCCTAGGCCGTAAAAAGTGTGAAATACCAAATTCCATTCATCAACATCATTTAACCATTATGAGAGTTTCAACTTTAACACCCTTCAAGAAATAAAAGTTTAAAACAACTTAGATATTTAAGATAAACTTTTTTTATTATTTTAATAAGCAGAAAAAGCTGTTAACGATTTTGTACCTTGAATCACTCTGAATGATGGACTCTTTCGGGCAAAATTGATGCAACTAGCTGATTTTCAATTCTATGTTTCCAGAAACAACCCAATTAAAAATTGAAAGTGCTTCCTTGTTGGAGATAGAAGATACCATTAAGATATGGTTAAAGCATGCACCCGATCGAAAAAAAGGACAGAAGAAAAATGATGAAGTCAATTGAGTTAATTATTTTATTAATTATTGTACAAAATAATTTATTCCAAAGACTTCATAATTCTTGTTTATAAATAAGATTATTCTGTCGACGTCATTTGAAGGAGCATCAATATTATATATTATTATTATTTCAATATTGTATTAGGTATCTAATACTTTTCATTTTCACTCACTTCTATTTTCCATTTGTTTGAAATGTTCAAAAACAGGAAGTTAAAATCGGATATATCCAAAAGACAATTGTACAGAAGAATCGCTATCGAAAATAGATCAGTTCTTGAGAGATTACGTAGTCATAATAATAGTAATTACAATGCAGCAGCAAGTACTAACCAAACTCAAGAAGTAACAGATGATTTGCAAAATTCGAACTGCATTGACGATTCACATTTTTTAACCAATAATACTGCTGATAGTGACGACGATATTGCTAATGCTGCTATTGAATGTTCAAATGACACCAACCCTCCAAATTCTGATCAGCCTTATTTTTATCCAGCAGAGATTGCAGATCCAATAGGATATGCTCCAGAGTTTGAATATCCAAACGGGGTCCCATTTGATGCAGGTGATACCATTAAGACTGATTTGACAACTAACTTACGAGAGTGGGCATTGAAAACAAAAGTCTCGCATCATTCAATAACTAGCCTTTTAAAAATTCTAGCCCCCTTACACCCCGAACTTCCGTTGGATAGTAGGTCACTTTTAAAAACTCCCAGAGTTGGTGTGTTCAAAAATTTAGACAATGGCGAATATTGCCACTTTGGTATTGAAAATGCCTTAAAGCAATTAATACCTACTTCATGTATTGATGAAAGAATTCGTTTAAGTATTAATATTGATGGAATACCACTTTTTAACAGCACTAATGTACAGTTTTGGCCAATTTTAGGTATGATTCGAAATTTTTCAAGTTCCCCATTTGTGATTGGCATATTTTGTGGCAAATCAAAGCCTTCACCACTAAACATTTTTTTGGAAGACTTTATTAATGAATGTAACATTTTAAAAACTTCTGGAATGTCATTACATAGTAAAATATATTTTGTTGAAATTTTAAATTTTATTTGTGATGCACCAGCCAAAGCATATCTCAAAGGTATCAAATCTCATGGAGGGTATTCCTCATGTGATAAATGCTGGGAATTCGGGGATTACAATCATAAGGCAGGAAAAGTTATATTTAAAGGAACGTCAAGTTCCTTAAGAACTGATGAACAATTTGTTTTAGAGACAGATGACGAACATCATAAGGAAAAATCTCCATTGCTCAATTTAAATATAGGTCTTGTTTCATCCTTCACCATTGATTACATGCATGCTGTATGTTTAGGGGTAATGAAAAAAATGCTTCAATCATTGATATCAGGGGGCTTACACATTCGAATAAGACATTCAACTGTTGAACATTTAAGTGAGAACCTGTTGTATTTGAGACCCTATATTCCTTCCGAATTCAATCGAAAACCGAGAAGTTTATCTGAACTATCCTATTGGAAAGCTACAGAGTTCCGCAATTTTCTGTTATATTTTGGTCCATTTGTCCTTAAGGACAGAAATATTGATATAGCGATTTTTGAACATTTTTTGTTACTGCATGTTGCAATTTCTTTGCTTGCCTCTGCAAATCATCTGTCCTCTGTGGGAGCTGAAAACGCTCAAATGATATTATTAAAATCCTTTATAGAGCATTGTGAGTATATATACGGCCCCGAGTTTTATGTATATAATACACATATTTTATGCCACCTGGCAGAAGAGTCTAGAAGTTTTGGAACACTAGACTCATTTTCTGCCTTTCCTTTCGAAAATTTTCTTGGTTTTATCAAAAGTTGTATTCGATCCCCTCAGAAACCACTGCAACAAATTTATCGTAGGTTGATTGAAAGAAATTGTATCCATGTGATATCAAAAATAAATGGAGACAATTTATTGCTAAGTATTGAACATAGTGATGGTCCTATCCTAGAAATCAATAATATTTTAACACAATATAAAAAAATTAAGTGGAAATTTTTAACTCTAAGCGTTACAGGCTATTCAATGGCCAATTCATACTTTATGACAAAGTCTGGGGATGTTGTTGAGCTACACAATATTTGCAAATCATCAGATAGAAAAACCATGTTGATAGGGAAAAAATTTTTAAATTATGAATCGTTTTATGTCTACCCACTTGATTCTAAAGATCTAGGTATTTCTGTTGTTTCAAATTTGTCAGAGGAGTTTGAAGTTTGGTCCCTCGTAGATCTTAAATTCAAATGCCTAGTGTTTCCAAATAAATTGAACGATTCCACTTATAATTGCTTTCCATTGTTACATGATGCTTCAATTTAGTAAATTGTGGATACTCGAAGCTGTATACGCAATAAAATTAAAGTGAAATAAATTGTCTTGAGGAATTAATTTCCAGCAAACTGTAAATCATTTTAATATCTTCATTTGGTCCTAAACGCGTGTAATCTGAGTTTACATTATCCCTGCAGAAAAGCCTAAGGTTTGGTATCCAAAAAACCGCAAAAATGTTGCTCTTTCTCAGTTCTTTTCCTGTAGCTGAAAAACGTTGCATCGGAGGGAAAATGTCATGATCCCAAATAAACGTTTTAGATGTCATCCGATGCAGAATTTAGTCCTTTCCAAAATTGAATGGAGGAAAGGAATGACATTTTCCGTCAGACGCATTGTCTTTCAGCTACAAGGAAAAATTTGGAAAGTTGAAAAATTTGGCGATTTTTGCCAACCAAAAGTCATGCTCACCTCCTGGGACCATCAAATAAAGCTATTAAAACGATAATTCAGCCTGCTGGAAATTATTTCGTCATAAAATAATAATTTGATTAACCTGCAACATATATCCATAATAATTTTCATGTGTATAATCTCATGTCGATGCAATTCAGTCACCCATGTAGATCCTTTCTTAGGGCAGGGTATTTCACCTAAGGGATGTTTTATGGTTTCACGACTTGGTTTTTGGGCTATTATAAAACTGAATACGACATATGGCGCAGGAAATAGAAGTGTTTGAAAATCGTACACTCTTGCTTGTAAACGCAAATTGCAGTATTAAATACCTATACACTTGATCGATTTATAAATATTATATGTATATGTACTAAAAAATATTTTTTAATTTTATATATTTAAATTTATGTTCGCCATTTTTCTTTGGCTTTTCATTTTCTAAGCTGCTCCAACAAATAATACCAAATTTGTGGCATATGACATGCCAAAACTTGAAACTTGAAACTACATAATTAAAATATTTCCAGTAAAGATTCTTGTTTCATTTCTTAACCAGACTAGTTTTATTTCAGATAAGTGAACGTTATGCAAGGGACCCTCAAAATAAATATTTGATAGAGAGAATTATTAAAATATTATGTAGGTATATGTGTTTTATCAGATAAATATTTTTGTTATTCTAGAAAGTGCTATTTTGGGCTAAGATCTTGGTCTTATTTTTCAAATTTGAACATATTTTTTTCGAATACAGGGTATAATACATATTATTCAATTGTAGGTATACACACAGGTGTTGGATGCCGTACTCTGGGTACTAACTTAAGCAGCATTCCTAAGCTCATGTTAATGAGATATTTTTTGCTTTTAATGAGCTCAGGAATATGCATTTTAGTTAGTTTTGTCCAGTAGGTACGTCATACAACACTATGTAGGTATGCCTATAAAAATGAATTTTTACATTTTTCAGGCATCCATAATTGTACGTCTTTTAGACGTCATTTGGTCGTCATTATATGGTCTTTTTAAGGTCTATTTAATTTGGCATGAGACGTCCAATGGACGTCAGGATATGACGTCTTTTGGATGTGACATTAGGGCGTCTTTTTGACGTCATATTGGACGTATGTTTGACGTCATTTGGACTAATGTGATGACGTCTTTTGGCCGTCATATAGACGTCATGTGCTACCTGGGCATCTTGTAGTAGTAATTGTAAATAGTGTAAATATTGTGTAAATTGTAAATTGTTGTAAATATAGTGTCAATGAAAAGCGCGTGTGTTTCAGTTCACTATCCAGTCGAGCATCCAGTCCACCTAATTATCAAGTTATTTATCTTCCCTTATGTGGTTTTGCACACATACAGGGTTTTGAGTTTTCTTAATTTTTAAGTAAAAATTAATAGTTTTAAATACCATAATAGACCTATCTCGCATGATTAGAAAAAGAAAGCTTAAATGTAATAAATACAAGTTAGAAAGCATAAAAGATGACATGCGCGCGCAACTCGTAGGCTGCAGTGAGCCAGATTGTATTGTTGCAGAACAAATGTAGACAATACAAATCGAACATTATAACATTAAAGAAGTGATATAGTGTCAAGTGTTTTACAACGCCTTAAATCAGACAAAAGAAGAGCTTTAAAGTGGATGAACATCGTTGGCACTTTTATTTTGATAAATGTTTCATCCGGCAACATCGCTCAATGAAATTGCAAAGGAATATGTCAAGTATAATCTAACATAACCTTAAACGAAACTGCGGTGAGTTCAAGTAATATGTAAAGTATTACTTTGCTCTTTGTCAAATTACACGGTACAAAGAAAGAAGGAACGATTCATTCTGATCTGGCCCCTGAATAAAAATATGAAGCAAGCCTGTCACAAACTTGCTTCTCATTGGACGCTCACCTGCAGCCTACAAGCGACGCGCGCAGTCCAGGTAATAGGAGATCGGTCTATTAGCAAAATCCCATTTAAAATGCTTTTGATGTGGCAACATCGCTTGTGGCTAAATTCAATCAAGGAAGCATTTTTGACAGTCGGCCATTTTCAATTGACGTGTTTACATTTTTATTCAGTTTTTCTTCGAATTTCCACTTTTCCGGGGCTTTTTCAGTCGGGAAAACTGATTTAAAGTACGAGGCTTTGAGTTTTTTCCATTTTCCACCAAAAATGTCCAATGTTTTAACGGGGTAAGTGAGAAAAACTTTAGTTTTATTTCTGTGGTTTTATCAAGTAGGTTTTGAAATTTCATTTTCGTTGTTTTTTTTTTTTGGAATTTTTATTTAAAGTTTTTGGGATCCGGGGATCGTTTTCTACCACTTTTTTTCTCGAAATTCATAAAATAAAAAAAAAAACTTTTTTGACGTTGACAGCTGTCATTTTTTTTTGACACAATTCGATAGTTGGCATCGTAAAACTGCCTTGTACCGGGGTTTGATTTTCGTAGCTTTTATAGTAGAGCGGGGAAAAAGTCGAACATGTGTCAAATTTGACAGGTGACATTTGTCGATATTGCCAAAGTGTCGTGCGACAAAAGTTTTATCCAAACGAACCCATTCATCGTTAACTGATTTTAATACTCCGGCCCTTCGGGCCGTAATCTTTGAAACAAAAAGACCTTATTTTGTCAATTTTTTGACGTTTGTTGTATCATGAGCAGTGTTGCCATATGTTTTTTTCTCAAATCTCGAGCTCGAAGGGCTGATATTATAGATTATTTTAAAGCCAATCAAGAGCCGGGAATATTCAAAATTTAAAGCCAATCAAGAGCCGGGAATAATCGAAATTCGAATACCCAAACCAATCAGGAGCCGGGAAAATTTAAAAAATTCGAATTCCAAACCCGACGGGAAATTGAATTTTTTGTACGTTCTGTTACTACATGTTGTTACATAAATCTCACACTAAAACCCACTAAAAAACGACCTTTGTTTTTTGAAAAAAACAGAGATTGACAGCTGTCAAAACTTTAAAAAACCTACATGGGCATATAGATTTAGTTTCGGCGAATACGTAGAAAGTACCAATTTTTTTTTTAACATATGTCAAAAAAGACGTTCGGCGTTGCCAGGCGGTTGGTTTTTGACATATATCGATGAAACTTCTTATTTTAGGGTTTTCGGAGCCTGGGGATCGTTTTCTGGCATTTGTTTTTTGAAAAAAAGAAAAAAAAATTGACATTGACATTTGTCAAAATTAAAAAAAAAAAACCACATGGACCTATAGATTGAGCCTCGGCGGATACGTAGAAAGTAGCCAAACAAAGCCAATTTTTTGACGTTTGTTGTATTATAAGCAGCGTTGCCATATGTTTTTTTTTTTCGAGTCTCGATTCTGGAAGGCTGAGGTTATCTCAATTATGAGCTCAAAGGGCCGAGGTTATACGAGTCCGAAGGGCCGGAATCATGCGAACCCAAAGGGTGGGAGTTATACGAGAGTCCGAAGGGCCGAAGTTAAATGCCAGCCCGAAGCGCTGTAGTTATATGAAAGCCCGAAGGGCTAGAGTTATACGCGAGCCCGAAGGGCCGGAGTTATAGGAACCGACAAGCCGAAGTTATTTTAATCACGAGCCCGAAGGGCCGGAGTTATACGAGCCCGTTCATTGTCAACCGATTTTAATACTCTAGCCCTTCGGGCTCGTAACCTTCAAGACGCCATTTTGTATCAATTGTCAAAAAAAACAAGGCCTACTTTGAAATTTGAATTTTTTGACGTTTGTTATATCATGAGCAGTGTTGCCATATGTGTGAAATAGAATATTATGAAAAATTCCCTTCTCCCGAAGCAAAAAGTTTCTCATGGGGGGGGGGGGGGGGGGGGGGGGCGGCAAAACAAGCTCTTGCACGAGGGCGGCCAAAGAGCTAGAACCGGCCCTGACATCGCAGAGAACTGAAACTCGGAATATTAACTAAAAATTACATTTTGGATATTCTCGATTTTTGATTGGTTTCAAATTATCCACCCAAATTATCCAATAGAATTATAGACTGGGCCCCGTAATTCAAATAACTTTAGTCCTTCGGGCTCGCGTATAACTCCGGCCCTTCAAGCTGGCGTATCGGGCCGGCGAAATTTGAAAAGTGTAATTTGTGAATTATTATTTTGATTAGGAATGAGGAATAAAAACCTGAGACTGAATTTTCAATTTTTTGGGGAAGGCTTAGCCTCCCCTGCTTCCTCTGACGAGCCGCCACTGTGAAAATTCGTATACAAGTTGGTCAAAATCCCAGAAAAACTTGTAAGATCTACTTAAAATCACTGAAAATCTTTTAGCCTCCTCACTTGAAATAGTCACGAGCCGCCACTGTATAGCTGCCTTGTCATTAGTCTATTTGTTATTGTGTTAAGCTTCTGCCTGCCTGGTTATGGAGTTCTGCTTATTGTTAATACCTGACTTCTTATTGGATGTTGGATCAGCAGATCCGGTTCGAAGGACCAAAATGGAAAAAGTCCTCGGAAATTCTAAGAATTTCGTAGTAGGGACGAATCCTTATTTTGAATTGACAGACGTGGTGATATTAATTTCAACTTTACTTTATTCAAAGAGGATAGCAAAATTCAATTGTGAGCATGAATCAATGTAAAAAGATGTTGCTCCTTTGAGTAAATCAAAAATTGAAAAAAATCTTTGAAAGCAAATTTTGTTTTATCTCAAACTGCAGAACTTGGAGAGCCTGGCATAGGAAAACTACGAGATACAAGTTTCCAGAAATTGAATAATTTAAAAATGGATTTGTTGAAATTTCAAACCATTAAGACCAAATAATTTGGAAGGAAAAACTTCTAAAAAGAGGAAAAAATTGATAAACTCAATTTTCTGGAATTATCTGAAAATCCAATAAACATTCAGTAAATGACTATTTCAAACAAAAATCCGTGTATACATATTTTCCTCAAACCAAGCCAGAAAACGAGAGAGATATTTTAATTAGTTCGATTTGGCAAACATCGCTTTGTTTTTCGGTTGTGCCATCTTTTTAAATATAACTCGGATCTTGTTACCAAACAATAACTTTTTACAGGATTGTGTGATTCAGAATTTTCAATAATCTTTAAAAACAAACTTGTATTTTTGTTAATAATAATTGTAAAATGATTTTAGCTTAAAATATTTTGCAACAAAATTACAATAAACAAATAGTTTGTTTATCTACTAAAAATTAGTCATAATGTTCTAATGATAAAAATGCATGTATGACGAAATTACTATGACTAATTTTTGTTTGGTCATACTTAAATTAACTGCCAATGAATTTTACTCAGAATATTAAAAGTTTTTGGAATATTTCATTGATTTTCAAGACGAATTATTATTATTGTTGCATATTTCCGTAAAAATAATTAGCAAATAAGTACCATAATTTAAAGCAAGGTCAAAATGTAAAAACAGAAGCGATAAAATAGAAATAAAAACTTAATAACCGTAACATTTTCCCATATTTATAGGTTTGTTGTTCAACTAATAACTCGAAGTAATATATTTTCTGGTTAATTATTTCGAATTTTTCAGTTTTT